CTCACTTAACAATAGAAGTTAACAATAACTCAACGCCCAATAACAGATGATACTCAGCCTCAGCAATGAACGAAATAATGTCTGTTCTGTAGGCTATTGGAAAATTAAATTAACAAATGAGCTAATTAACAAAAGAAAACCTCTTGTGTAGCAAAAATAACTCAAAATGTACCAAAAACGAACAAACATATCAATAGATATGTTTACTTTCGGTGTCCAGGTGGCTTTTCAGATCCCTTGCACCTCCATTGGACACCGAGACATATGTGTATAAGGCCTCCCATTTGTCTTGACCCGGTCTGAACATTACACTTATAATCCAGTGCGCCATATGTATAGTTTAAGATTAAGCTTCAACAGTTCCCGCAAATACGGGCAGCAGCTACCAACTCAGTTTTCTCCCGTAGAAGAAATAGTGCGCGGTGCATACAGGGAATTTTTATTTCCATTTGTGTGTTAAGACCCAATAATGGTCCCTTTCCAGAGACATTTGTTGACGTGGAGTTTAAACTCAATGCCATCAGTTATGCAGTAAAACATGGGAATAAAGCAGCAGCTCGAGAATTAAAGATTAATCCGTCAATGATGCGGAAGTGGAAGCAAGAATAGAGTTTCCGAAGGAACAAAGTAGGATGGAGGCTGTTGGAGGATAAACTTGAACAGCGAATTATTGAACAAAGAGCAGCAATTAGAAGTGTCTCAACAGTAACTATTCGAATGACGGCAACAGTTGTAGCCTGCAAATTCAACGTCAATGACTTTAGAGGCGGTCCTTATTGGTGCTTTCAGTTTATGAAGAGTTATTTCTCCATCCTCACACAAACTGCTGTTTTGCAACAAATGCCAAAAGACTACCAAGGAAAACCGGCTTCTTTCTGCAAAATCCATCCAGAGGACACCATCAACATGGACGAGGTTCCACTCACCTTTGATATTCCTGTGAACCACTGTAGATAAAACGGGAGAGTGTACGGTAAATGTTCGCAGCACAGGGAATGAAGAGTCATCCTTCACCGTAGTTCACGTCTGCCAGGATAATGGCCAGAAACTTCCACCCATGCTTATTTAGAAGAGGAAGAAGTTGCCAAAAGAAAACTTTCCTGTGGGTGTCATGCCAAGATATTTCTCCCCGCCAGAATTTTTATCCCCTCGCCGGGAGCGAGCACGGAGTAGGAAGAGCTGATCAAGTTCACTCCGCCTCAATTCCAACCTATTAAATGTGACACCTGAGATGTTATATCTTTATAAAAGATGAACGTTGTTATTTTATTCTACACTTCATATGTTATAGCAGAATATCGGCAGTAATATTGGTAAAAAAAAACAGTTCGCTTTTAAACTGGACGCTGACAACAGTGTTAACTCCTTTCTTTGAAAGCCAATGGCTCCCTTTTCATTTCAATATGTTCCTTTAAAAAATATCTAACTGTTCCGAGGTCTCTGAATGTTCTCATCTTGTCATAATAGGCTTTAAAGATCTGACCCACATGCAGAGAACCACTCAGAGACGAAAGGTAAAAGTTTGACAAGTTTATTGTAGGTTAGCAAACACTGATGGAGATTGAAACAATGCTGGAACTCAGCGGACTGGTGAACCGGAACCGGAAACTTTGAAGGGCAGATCAGAGTGATCAGTTCAGGGACAGTGGGAAAAAAGAGGCTTGAATATTTCTGTAGAGGCACTCAGTCTTGGGGGGCTCTTGGTTTATCCTTGGATCCAGTTTGTGGGGGTTTAATCCAGGGGAGAGGGAACTCGGAGAGAAGACAGGCAGACATACGTTGGACCTAGAGGAGTAAAGGAGCGAACTGTCACTTGGTTTTCCAGGAGTGGACTTGAACGGATCATGTGGAGGTTTCCCCTTACTCAGTGAGACTCTGTAAATCTTTCCAGGGGTAGAAGGTCCAGGCTTATCCAGTAACACAGGAAGTCTTCCTGCAGAAAAACAAAAACAATGCTAAGGTTAGACTCTGCTAATCTCAGCTTGGCTAGAGTACCCAATACTGGCAAACACTCTGGCGTCGAGGTGGTGACAGCCTGCTGCTCAAATACTCCTCTGGTAATGACCCAACGAGCCGCAGGTGTGCAGGGAGGTGTGCATCTCAGCTTTTTATTACGAAGGAACACCAACATTGGTCAACAAAAATATTGTGATAATGGTATTTTTAACCAACATAGATATTATCTCTGGCAGATTCAATTTCTTTCTTAAACCCCTAAAAATGAGAAACCATTTATCTTTTTACCCAACATTTCAACAAATTACATTATTGGTAGTTTTTTCTCCTCTCGATAATCAGTGAAACTGTTTACTGTAAATGGGGACAGAGATTGGAGGAACTTCTTTTCTTTTATGCTGATCTTCGGCTTTCTTCAGAGCTTCTCTATCAGATTCAAATCCCGATTTTGGCTAAGCATGTCAAAATTTCAATACTTCAACCTGTCAGTACAAAACATCTCGATCTGAGATTGCCGGTGAATAACTATGAGCTTACAGTGGTACAAGGAAGGCATTTGGAAAATGAGATGAGCAGATAATGTCCTGGTCCAACAAGAAACCCATAAATCCTCAATCCAGTGAGCCTTGTACTTTCCAGAACCAGTGTCTCTGAACTGCGATCTTGCATGCATATGTGCACAAATCATGCATGTTCTGTAGTGACTCATGAGCGCACACATTAATACATGCCCACAGTGGGAGGCAGCCTCCTGGCGCAGGTTCACCACAATACGAGTTTTTTTCTCCTTCTTTCTGCAGTCCGCTTGCCAGGCCAAGCTTGGAAAGGGGTCACATTCTCCAAGGTGTGTCTAAACAGAGATGACATGTGGATGTGCTGGCATGAGACGCCGTTCTCGGCTCCCTACCAGTGCATCTAATGCCTATGCCAGAAAGGCAGCTGCGCTGGTTTTATTTCCCTTCTCTGCTTCTTGTGAAGCACAGCGCAGTGCCAGAGAAAACAGAGTCATTGTTTGTTTTTGATGGTTGTTCCATTCCTCAGGTTTATCCTGACTTAAAAATACCAGTGAATTGGGGAGTAGGCTTGACAAGCAAAGTGATGCTTATGTTAATTTGGGCATGCTATTGCCTAACGCCTGAGGAGTTCTCTGTCATTTTGCATTAAACTGTTTTTTTCTCTCCACACTGACATGTTTTTAGAAACGTTTCCTTGTTACCCGTTTCCTTCATTACAGGAAGCCGTAGTGTTTACCGTGTCTGATGTATCATCTGATATGTCTTAGTAAATATCTAATGAGGCTTTGATGGACAACTCTGAGGCTGAGTCAGGGATTCATGTCAAAAACAGGTAAAGGAACAGGATTGATTCGTATTGGAGGGTTCTGATCCTGGAAACCTTCCTGATTCCTTTGAACAGTTTGACATCTTTCTTTTATGTAGGATTTCTCCAATTAGACTGAGCTGAGCAGCACACCCTCAAGATCCCCTCCAGGTTTATTATAAACCTTGTATAACTGCTCATTGATGATGTACAGCTTAGAGGAAGTCTTTAACTCCAGGTTTTGTTTAATTTTCATTTCAACAGGGCTATGCTAGTCCTACCTTTATATTTTAGAGAGTTTTTATCTGGACAAGAAAAGTAATCAAAGGTAAAATAAGCTTGAGACTGAAGCTTATCATTTAAGCTCACTGTATATTTTGTCTGTTTTTCAATCAATATAAGAGCCATTTGGTTTGCTATGAAAATGTAAGTATTAATCTGGGTAACTTGCCTTATTACTTGGAGCAGTGATGATGTAGAAAATGAATCCTAAAAGACAGAATAGAATAGAAAATCCCTTTATTGTCCCACAATGGAGAAATTGTGGCGTTACAGCAGCAAAAGGTAAATAGAGCAAGTAATGCCAACTATGGCCTCAGGCTTGATTCTCACTCCTGCTGCTTTTCACTCAGCTGTGCATCGCTATGGTCCACCCTGAAGATTATGGCCAAAATAGAAACACATCATCTGCAAAAAAAGCAACAGCACTACCCTCCCCAGATTCAGTGGTTCTGTCCTGGACAGGTTTGAAATAGATTTACCCGTTACCTTGTGGTACAAGAAAATGCTGTATTATTTAACTTACCATATCTGAACATAATACATCGTTATATGAGCAGTTTTATTTAAAACACATGCACCTGAACTACCCATCAAGGGCATTTCGAAATATATTCATACCATGAGGCCCCCAGTATTTTATGCTCCGGTAAATTCTCTCCTGCTCGCATATCGATCTGTTTCTGCGTCCTCATGTCAACTTTTGTCATGAGGGAGGAACTAAGCTGGGAGAATAAACTTGATTGGCTACTTTTCTGGAAATCCTGCCTCTACTGTTTTCTTAGTTGCAGCTAGCGACGTTAGCAAAGCATCTCTTGTCTTTAATTAGGGGAAAGCAGGTTGACAGTAATTTATAAACAGGTTTCACATACTTTGATTAATATTTTAGGTGTTCTACAAACGCCAAAGTGTGACAAACATGCAAAAAAACAAACATATCAAGAAGGGGGCAAAACTTTTTCTGTTGCATCCCCCTAAAATAGGCCACAGTATGACCCTTACCCCATCAGACTTATTTATGGTTCTCTGATATAGTAGTTAATCTATAATCTGTATTATTGTAACTTCATCTTTACTAGTAAATCCATGACTACTTAATCCTGTAGTCTAAAGTACTGCTAACGGAGGGAGACTGTGTAATGTAGCCAGTTACAGGTCTAGTGGCTAAATATCAGACAGTGTTGCTTTTAGATAATAGATAATGAAGAGAGTGCTTAACTCTGCCCAGTTCTTATTACCCATTATCTTATCTTCTTGTATTAGTCAATAATTAACCAGCCTTCAGACCAGTCATCAGTGCCAGATTATTTCAAGCCGTTGGTGAGACTTATTCTAGTGTACCTGTGTTCTGACTACCTGATCCTGACCTGTTCTGCCTCTTGACCTCTGAGCCTGCCTGTTCCTGTCTGATATCTTTCCCTGACCTATCTTCTGACTCCTGCCAGATCTCTACCTGTTTGTGCACCGTACCTGGAACTGGATTCGCCCTCGGCGCTTCACCGGATCTCTGACCTCCTGGCTCTGACAACCTTCTACATCACCAAAATAGGCTTTGGCTTCGCCCTCTGTATCATCTGCTCTGTTCTGATCTCTTGTCTTTCCTCCGACCACCGATACATCAGCGTCTGGGACCAACTAGCAACCACCACCGCTTCGCTTTGGCAGATGGACTGGATCCAACTGGCAGAAGCTAACCTCACCCTCTGGGCATGGACTGAACTATAAGACAAGGATAGCGACTCACATATTCTTTATCATCCACTTCCACAAAGACGTGGTCACTAACCTGCTGTCTCCACCCATAGAGGTTCTTGCCTTAGACGCCATCGCTGCTTCCTCTGATTCAGTTTTCAATAAACATTTTGAGAAATCTGTTTGTCCACTTTGTATATTAGATCCTTCTTTTTGGACCTTGTGTATGGAAAGTAATTTATTCTTGTGTTCTATTATTCTTGTGTTAATTTATTCTTCTATTTCTTGTGGTGATTTATGTTATTACAATATAAAATTACAATTTGCAGTTTAAAAAATGTAATAAACTTCATACAACTTTTACTTAAGGACACAGAAATAAAGGGTTGAAGCAGAAGTAAGACATAGTTTTTTACTTTTACATTTCTTGGTTAAAATACTAAGCTATGATAATGCTTTTATGTTTAATGTGATGTTTTTAGACTTTTGTAAAATTTATATTTATAATAGTAATTCTAGATTTCGCTGATTAAAAAGCCATCGTTGTTACTTATAGTGTTTCCAACTTTGTGAAAATGAAATAAGGGACATTTCTTGGCCAGGCATTGTCCTAAACTCGACTGATTAAAATAATTTATTCTTGTCTTTTCTTGTGTGTAAATTTAATTTGAAGCTGAGCTAAATGTGACCCTATGATCTCATTTCTTAATATAGGACAGTTCCTGTTTTAAGGCAGTTAATCCCCACTGGGGGTATGCGTACACCTAGTGGTCCGTGAGTGCGTTGCAGTGGGTACATGAAAATATTTTATTTCTTAGGTATTAAAATAAAATAGCCCTGGAATCTGTTTTGCTGACCCAATTAAAAAATTATGCAAGCCCTTTTTCTTCACCAAAATGTAAATTTTTGTTATATGTTTGAGTTGACGATGTAGAGAACTACACTGGGTTTATTTGAGCTACAATTGGTAGCAGTGTATTGTCAAATACCTCCCATTGGTATTTGTAAGCAGGTTAGTAAGGAGACTTACTAACCTGACTGCGTCAGATGGATTTGCTCCATCTGAAGTAATTTTGGGAAGGGGCTAAAATGCTGGTTAGCTGATTGGCCTATGTTGGTGATAGACGGGCCAAATAAACCAATCAGATCAACGAAGCATATGACGTACTAACAGAGCGACGACGAAAACACAACCACAAGCCAATTAATAGATCAAACTCTTGCCATAACCAGTTGGGAGAAGAGCAAGAACATCTTTTCCTCTGAGTAAAGCCTCCAGAACAGTGTTTTACTCTTCTTTCAGTGAAGAAATACTCTGTAATTCCGATAAAACTTGCTCGATAGCCACGCTAACGCTAGTTTCATCGGCTGAAGCCGCCATGTTCTTTAGACTGAACTGTCGCGCTTCTCGTTGCGTCACACCTCAACCCGCCTCAAAGCCAACACTGATTGGACGTTTGTTTGGTGAACGGCTCCAAATATTCTTTAACGGAAAGTAGTCAGACTGATCTGCGAGTGAAACCTTGACAGCTCGCAAGATCAGGATGGTCTCACGAGGCTAGAGAACAGCTTGGTGTCAGCAGTTTTTCACACTAATGGAGCTCATCAAAGCAGCTCAGGTGTCTTAAACAAAACAAAGTAAAACTAATCAAGTCAGTCTGACTGTAATTTTTGTTCAGTATTTTGTTCCCAATTCATCAAGTTTAAAGTTACTCAGAGGAGCTCCAATATTATAAATACAGCATTATGGTTCTCCCCTTTTTTTCACTTATTTGTGTCATTTTGTTTTTTTGGTCACTGGTTTCTTTTCCATTTTTTTGTCAACCTGTTTTTGCATTTTTTGCGTTACTCTCTGTTGCCCCGGTGTACCAGTCTCCTTTCCCCCTACAGTAGCTCCCTTCTAGTTACTTCTATCCATACCTGCTCCATATCAGCTAAATAGTCCATTTTTCTTTCCCGCCTCTTCAGTTAGTATTTACTGTTTTCTTGTTGCTACTTGCATCTCCATGTTTGTTTTCCTGTGATGTCTCCTGGTTTTTGGTTTCCCGTATTTTGGTTCTTAAATTTCGTTTCTGTTGATTTTTTTGATTAAATAAGCAAAAATCATCTCTGCATTTGGGTCCTCAACCAACCTCCCCCCCCCCATGTTGACATACAGGTTAATAAAAGGATTTAATTTTGTATTTGTTTGAATCCTTACTAACATCCAGGCAAAAATATTTATGTTTTTTTTATTATTATTAAATGCTCGGATTAAAAGATTAAGTAAAATAGTCTTTATTTAGGTCATTGTACATTCCACTTTTGGACAATCATCAATACTTTTGACTGAGAGGGGTACTCATGGTACACAGAAAGTTGTAACCGGAAATATATTTAACCAAAAGCAAACCAACCGGTTTAAAGACTTTTTCCTGATTATATATTTTTTCTTTTATATTAAGCTGATATATTAGCCTAAAACATGAGGGGGTATAGTTCCCTGTTCCTCCTTCCTGAAGGTTATGACAATAACTGACATCTTTAGATACGAGAGGAAATTCAGGTTTACAGGAATTTACTGAATTTTTGTGGGATTACAGGCATGCAAAAGCAATATGAGACCAGAAAATGAGTTTCCTGTGGGTTTCCCAATACACTCCTGTTGATTTTACAGAAATTCCTATATCTTCCGTGGTAAAATGAAGCAATCCAAAAATAAAAACACATCCAATGAGCTGTTTGCCAGGCAGGACCTGCAGGGCTATTAAACTGTGCTCTTTGTGTGTCGAGTCCAATGGTACACCGGTGCCTCTCCACCTGATAAGCTTTTTTAAGCTGACAGGGCAGGATCACAGCTATCTGCTAAATGGAAATGCGATGAAAGCTACCCACACTCAGCCGATTGCCTTGGCTTGCATCATTTCGCATCCTTGGCTGAATTAGTGCTTACAAGGTGGCAATAAAACAACTGAGAGCTATAACATGGAGTTCAGGTTGAGTGCGGTGCAGCGTGATCCTTGCTGCAGGGGAAACGGGTTTCTTCTGAGCTCATAGGTACCTCTGCAGGTACCGTCCTGGACCTGAGTGGGTATCAGGTTCGCTGCAGAGCTTACCTGATCCAGACCTGGTTTAGATTTACTGCCTTCTTGGAACAGAGAGAGGAACATCACCTGCATCTGGTTTCCACTGACAAATCAAAGCCAGTTGTGGTGGGAGGGCATGCAGTTAACCAAAATAGGGGCTTTAATAATTTTTATGGCTGGTAGGAGTTTGCAGGTTTTAAATCTATATCCCTGTGGTCTGTTAGTCATTCCTCAGGATGCAGAAACCGAGGGCGCAGGTGGAGCCGAACACACACAGAACAGGCAGGAAGTCTCTGAGGACGGAGGGGAGTGGACGGGGTCAGGTTCATGTCGGACTGCGGCGGCTGCACAAACGGAAAGATGAGACCTCGGAGGAGTCGATATAGTTGATGTCATCCTTACACAGGATCGTTAGGGTAACATTAGGTAGGGGGAGGGGTTTCTGGCTGCGTAACATGAGATGATAAACCCAGCAGGACAGTTATTAATGCAAAGACTTTGGATCCTTTCTCTGGGAGGCGTATAAACCTAAATATACCTGGATCTCCGGGAAACCGAGAGAGACCCTCAGTCGGATGAATTTATGAGCTGAAACGTATGCCGCCATGCTTTACAAAAGTCCTCATGTCTAATAAACTTCTTTACATTAGCAGGTAATCATGTGAGAGAAGGTTCTCTCCTCAGATGTAATTGATCTTATTTGATCTACATGCAGACCCCATTTGCAGCGGTGGAGCTCTGTTATTATTTCCAACATGAATTTTCAAACATTAGATATATTTAACTACAGGTTAGGCACAAATGTACGGAGCCCCTCTGATGACATGGTCAAAAAAAAAATGTTTAATTGTGGCCACGAAGTAGTATTTCGTGCGCACGAAGTAGTATTTCGCGGCCACGCAATAAGTATAATGTGCGAGCGAAATACTTATTAATAAAATCAATAAATCCGCCCCTGTTTTCAGGCTTATGTTAACTGTAATGACTTATCTTGGACAGGCTGCTATGTAAACGGGCCTTTAGTCCTTCGTTTAGCTATGCTGCGATTGTTTACACTACGCCTTTTCCACCTAAAATGGCGTCTTAGCAACAAATGTCACGTGACTAGCGGAGACCGACTGGGTAAGCAAATCGAGCGCGCCTTAGACCTTAGAGAAGGCGCGCTCGATTTGGGTACCCAGTTGTCCAGGAATGATATTAATATTATTAATAAGTATTTCGTGCGCACGTTAAACTTATTACGTGGCCACGAAGTAGTATTTCGTGCGCACGTTATACTTATTGCGTGGCCGCGAAATACTACTTCGTGCGCACGAATACTACTTCGTGGCCACAATTAAAAAATTGTTTTGACCATGTCATCAGAGGGGCTCCGTACAAATGTATGGAGTGTGTTGAGTGGCGCATTACAATAAATTAATAGTTTATGAAATAATTTAAATGTGTGTTTACTTAATTAAAACATGTATTTAATAAATAAATAATGTAATTAATTATTTTGGACTCGGTTACATATTATTTTGCTTTCAAACTGTCACACAGCCGTCACGGTCAAAGAGGCGGGTCGCTTCCATAGAAACCCTGACATCTGATTGGCTGCTTCTCACCGAGCAACGTTAGAGAACTTCTTGGGTTTCTTTGACTCTGTCAACATTTTTGCCAGAGAAGTTTTAAATACATTTCTAAAAAACGTTGGCATTTATTTATAACACATTGAGTGAACAACTAACTAATAATTATTAATGATTTAATTACATTATTTATTAAATTAGTCAAAAACTATATTTACCACATTAAAGAAAATAGATATATTTAACTAAGGGCTGTATAATTAATAATATATTTATTAAACATATTCCATATTTAGTTCAACTTTTAATAAATTAAAGACACATTTAAACAAGTATTTCATATATTAAATATTTTTATTACTTTGCCCTCCATACAGGGAGATAATATTTTTGCCTGTAATTTACTATTTACGCACAAAAACAAAATTGAACACATAATCTCACTGTTAATTTGTTCTAGAATTTGTGATTAAATATCTTAGAATACTTAAAGGTCTGTACTTCTACGGAATTTTTTTTTTTTTTTTTTCCAGCATTAAAAATCGCTGCTATAAAATTATTTCAATGTTTGTTTGTTTTTTTATTTTCC